AACACCTGCACTTCTGCATTTGACCACGGCTTTGATATTATTGTTGTTGTATAGCTTCAAAATACTAAAAGATACGCTCCTCATGTTATCGCTAATGGCAAGCGGTAGAGAAAAAAATGGTGGATCGGGTTGTTTGGAAAGACTCCACAGACTCCTCCCCCCGACCAATCAGTGACCGACAGTGTTTCTGACGTCACGGCGCGGCTCGCTCGGAACCCTTGAGAAGCCGGGCCAGAATTTAGCGAGGCGAGCCGGTTTCTGGAACAGTGGAAAGACCTCAAACGCGCTTCAACCCGGAAATATCCGACCCGCGCCGTGACGGTGGAAAAGGGGCATAAGCATTTTACAAGCAGCACAGCACCAACACAACTCTCATGAAGTTCAGGGTTATTTGACACTTTCCTGCCTGTTCTGTGAGTTTAATAGACGATTACTTCTTACCTTGCGTTGCAAACTATTTCAGCCACTCTGTTTCTTTGCTGGTGACGTTGCTGCTCCATGAAAAGCTTCGGCCAAAACGTTGACTTCTGGGCAATGTAGTTCTTTTGACTTGTGTTAAAGTGAAGGCTTATTGAAAGAAAACTACAAAATAGCTGCACCCCCCTTTTTTTTTTTTTTTTTGCTTATTGGTCGGTTCCCGCTCCTGTCTGCTCCCGTTAACTTTTAATCCTGTCACGTCCTGGTCACGTGAGTTATAATAAGGTTGACTCCGGTCCTGCCGGAATCCTGCTGGAATCACGTGACCCGTGGTACTCCCGAAAAATGTCTCTCCAGCACGTCCTGGGTCTTCTCCGGGGTCTCCTCCCAGTCTGACATGCTCAAAGTACCTCCCTAGGGAGGGGGCCAGGGGACGTCCTTACCAGATGCCCGAACCACCTCAGCTGGCTCCTCTTGGTGTGGAGGAGCAGTGGTTCTACTCTCTCTCCTGGATAACTGAACTTCTCACCCTATTTCTAAGGGAGAGTCCAGCTACTCTGCAGAGGAAACTCATTTCAACCGCCTGTATCCACAATCTCATTCTTTCGGTCACTACCCAGAGTTTGTGACCGTTGGTGAGTGTAGGAATGTAGACTGACAGGTAAACAGATAGATTTGCCTTACAGCTCAGCTCCCTCTTCACCCAAGTGTCTAAAACAAATGGCCGTGAATCAGATGACACGACTATGAAGTCAATCATCGATCTACTACCTAGGGCGTCTTGCTGCCAAGTGCACGTATGGACACCCTTATGTTCGAACATGGCGTTTGTGATGGACAAACTATGACTAGCACAGAAGTCCAACAACAGAACACCGCTTGGTTTTAGATCAGAGAGGCCGTTCCTCCCAATCACTCCTCTCCAGGTCACACTGTCGTTACCCACATGGGCATTAAAGTCCCGCAGCAGAATAAAAGAGTCCACAGCTGAAGTACATTGCAGCACTCCTGCCAAGGACTCTGAGAAGGCCAGATCCTCTGAACTGCTGTTCGGCGCTTGGGCACAAACAACAACCAGAGCACATCCCCCCACCTGAAGGCGCAGGGAAGCTACCCTCTCATCTTCCGGGGAAAACTCCAACACACAGGCACCAAGTTGGGGGGCTAAATGTAGACCCACACCAGCTCGGCGCCTCTCACCATGGGCAACCCCAGAGTGGAATAAGGTCTAGCCCCTCTCAAGGAGATCTGTTCCAGAGCCCATGCTGTGAGTCGAGGTGAGCCTAACTATATCTAGTCGGTACCTCTCAACTTCACGTACAAGCTCAGGCTCCTTCCCCACCAGAGAGGTCATGTTCCATGTTCCAAGAGCTAGCTTTGGTAAGCCAGGGTCAGAGCACCAAGGTCCCCGCCTTCGGCCACTGCCCGTGGCATCTCGCACCCGACTCATATCCCCCCAGGAGTAAAGTTAGGGTTTTGTTTTATTATCCCCATGTCACCATCTGTGTTTGTTGTATCTAACTTGTATTTGAGCCTTGTGGATTCGGTTCTGTTCCAGGATGTTTTCCCAGGAGACTTTGGGCCCACGTATGACAAAGCGATCCAGACACTGGTGTGGCTTTTTCTGTCGAGACTTGAGAAGATTCTTCCTAATCAAACGCTACAGCAGGTACACACACAATCTACTTGGCAACTACTATTTAAAATGCATAATTTTTTGTCAAAGTTTTATATATATATATATATATATATTGTTTTAAACTAGAAAAACACTTTTTGTATTGTTAAAAAAAAAATTGTCATGCAGCGGCTTCAGAAAATGTTCATACCCCCTTTTTTATTTAACTGTAAAATTATGTTTTCACTTTGTCAACATGACGTATTGAGTGGATTAATGAAAAACAAAAAATAAATAAAAATGTGTGACTCTACTAAAAATAAACAAATCACTTCCAGTGGTTCCTAATGGTCACTTGCCTTGTCAGGGTGCTCATCTCTTCTGTGGGGGTGGTGGGGGGTGGAGACATGTCTGTATTGCATGCTAGCTTTGCGCTACGTCAGTGCCGGTAGTTGTCGACGGGGGCAGGGTGGGAGTTGTGGGTGAAGGACATTTTGGTAGGCAGGGCGCTCTGTTGCGTTGACAGGGCAGGGCGCCCTAATTGGATAACGGTATGGGGAACACTGATCACGTTTTCAGAAGTATTCAGATCCTTTGTTCAGCACAGCAGGTAAACATTTGGCAGCAGTTACAGCCTCAAGTATCTTTTTGGTTTCATGCAGCAGCCTCTGTCATAGCAGGATGATGTTGGGATTTTTCTGACACTTTCCTCGTTATAACCTCCCAGGATCAGTCCAGACCAGGGGTGCCCAATACGTCGATCGCAATCTACCAGTCGATCGCAATCTACCAGTCGATCGCAATCTACCAGTCGATCGCAATCTACCAGTTGATCGCAATCTACCAGTCGATCGCAATCTACCAGTCGATCGCAAAGGCATTATAAGTAGATGGCATGGCATTAAAAATAAAAAATACATCAGCCTATCATCCATCTAGGCTTGAGTGAACTCTGGCACACTTGGCTGCCGCTGCTATCGTAGAAAAACTATTTTGTCTTTACTTATGCTATTTGATATCGCTATGCTTTTCACCCAGTCTCTTGTGCAGTAGTGAGTTAGCGTTGGGCTTCAGTCAATCCTATTCTTCAAATATTACATCTGATTCCTTCAGTTTGTTGGACTGTAAACTCACCTGTGTGGTGTCCTGCGAAATGCCGCAGGCACCCAGCTGTCAGCTCTTCGTCTTTGGATTTTCTGGGTGAGCCCTGGAGCAGTAATGTCGATCAACAGGCTTGCCATGTGGTTCGCACTTTTCTGGATCATCATATTCTTCATACTCCACCCGTGACATCGACTCTGCAGTACACGTCAACAGAACTAATACGACTACGAGTCTTCACTATTGTACTTCCACCAGCACTCCTGCTTTATCGTTCCATCTTACGTCACAACTGAAGGAAATATATTCACCGCGGATCTCGGCAAACTTCTTTTATGATGACAGCAAGCCAATACGATCCTTCTGGTCCTCTCACCTGCGCTCGTCTGTATTATCTGGACGAACCACAGATCATAGCATGCTGGCTCACCTGGCCAGGTCAGCTGGTGCACAGCCATCCACCACTCGTCTCTTGTTTGGATTATTTAACACTCGCTCACTCTCTAACAAGGGGCCGTTACTGAATGATCTCATCAGTGAGCATAAGTTTGATTTCTTCTGTTTAACTGAAACTTGGCAACAACCCAATGTACTGTACTCTTTAACAAACTGGATGTCTCCATTAATTACAATAATATTTATTGTTCTAATAGCCTGGTTTCGTATTACAACAGCAGTCTTCAAAGTATTTTGGATGAACTTGCCCCTGTTAAGACACGTACTGTTCACTTCTCCCGCTCTGCTCCCTGGTATATTCAAGAACTCAGCTTTCTTAAAGCTAAAGGACACCGTTTGGAACAACTATATAATAAAACAGGACTCATTATTCACAAAAATTTGTTTACAGACCATATAAAACACTACAAGGATTCTGTCTGCATAGCTAAATCAGCCTACTATGCTAATTTAATTGGCACAGCTAATGGGAAAGTCCACAACAATGTGGGCTTTCTAACATCTTTGTTAATAAAGGTTAATAAAGGTTGAATTATAATACTTCATTACAATCAGACTTTTTAAAGAGCAGTCAGCCTTTCATTATGTTTGCTCTGTATGTGTTATGTTTAAATTTTAAGAGCACAACTGTGTTTTTGGTTTTGTTATGCAGGAAAAAAACTTATTATTGAGACATTTATTTTGTACAGTTACAGCTGTTTGTTAATAAAAGTGCTTGTGTGACAATTGGGACAAAGCTTTGACTCAGAAATATATTTTTGTTATTATGTTATGGAAAGAAAAAATAGTGAGGCAGAGGCACCATTCATCTTAAAAATATTAAGATATTAATTTTGGTCCATATTGCTCAGCCATATCTTGAGTATCTTGGTTATATAGAAAGGTGCTATACAAATACAGTCCATTTACCCTTTACCATTGTCGACTAGGAGGGCTTCAATAAAGAGGTGTACACCTGTCCAGTCTGTTTCCTTTATGGCAGGTGGACTGCTTCAGGGTGTAGAACATCTCAGTATAATGCCTGAGCTATTTAAGTTGTTATAAAGTGTCTTGGTTTTATTTTCAGTAAGTTTTTAAAATCTTTTTCAAAAACTGTTTTTACGTTGTCCTTTTTGTGTACTGAGTGAAGATTGAGGATCAAAAATAAAACGAGTGTAACGTCAGACTGCAACAGCACAAAACCGAAAGATGTGGGGGGAGTGTGAATGCTTTCTGAAGTCTCTTTATATTTTATTACTTATTGATATGGAATAAGTAGGCTGACATTTGTTTTTTGATTTGTGTTCAGATTACTTCACTAATCCGTGACACCTCCTCTGTTCTGAACGAAACGTTGGAGACTTTGATTCAACCTCAGGATCTCAAAGTTTTACTGGACATACAAAAAAACCTCATCCACTTAGAAGACATTGGTGAGCTTGATACTACACTCAAACGGTGTAAACACAAGCAGCATGTTCTTTGGCATTTAGCATCTCCAATAAGAAATGTCTAAACAGTTTTTCTACGTAAAACAATTTTATTTTTCTGTTTCTCTGGTTTATTTTTAGAGTCTTACGTTGTCGACAGTGGCATCTTGTCAGCTCTGTGTCTCCCTTCTGTGGAAAGAGTTGTGATTGTCAACGAGCAACCAGGACCAGGTCCAGAAGCAGAGAGCGGCCTCGAGTATACTGTGTGCTCCGAAATGGAGGTAGAATCTGAGAACAAAGGGGTGTTCATGGAGGGAACTGGAGGCTCTGATCAAACCCAGTGGTTTAGTCTCAGCAATGAAGTTAAAGCAGAAATGGACAGTGTTGTGGTTACAGACACCGCTGACGGAGCTGAGGCCAGTGAGGGAGAAATGGCAGATGAACATCATGAGGGTCCGTCAGGGACTCTGATCATCGGGGAAGATGGCCAGGTGACGGTGCTGGATGGGGTGGAGAAGAAACCAAACAGGCGCGGGAGGAAAAAGAAACGCCTCGCAGACAGGGACTTTGAATTGGAAAGTAGAGCCAAGGGAATTACAGAAGACTCCGAAACGGATGTCTTGTGGGAGAGACCGATTCGAAAGAACCGAGGACTTAAGATGAAGAGGTACCTGTCACAGTGGAGAAAATCGGGTAAATCACATGACCGCAACGCCAGCAACCGTGGTCTGGGTTCGGCCAACGATTTGGACGAGAGGACGTGCAAAGTATGTGGAAAGGTGGTGAGCCAGGCAAAGTTCTTGCAGCGACACATGAACCAGCACTCGGAGGAGTTGCCCATTGCTTGTCCTGTGTGCAAAAAGTTTTATAAAAGTTTGCGCTTCTTGCAGCAGCACAGATGTACGACTTTAACAAAAGCTGATGCCAACAAAAAACTTGTGGAACAAGACAGCACAGCAGATGAGGGTGAACAGTCATCCAGCGGGCTTCCATGTGATGCACTTACTAAAGAGCAGCCATTGGACAGCACCCTTCAGGACTCTGATTGTTTACCAGAAGGAGAGAGACCCTCTGAGGAATCAGGGCAAATGAGCCCTGACGAAGATAAGGGCCTGCTGGAAGGTCCGTTCTACTGTCCTCACTGCAGCGCTGAGTTCAAGTGCAGACAAACGTTCAGATTTCATTTAAGAAATATCTGCTACACGGAACAACAGGTGGATCCCAAGAACCCGGAGGACATCAAACACTGTTTCCGATGCGGCGAATGTGACAAGGCATTTAAGTACAAATCCACATTGGATTCCCATAAACAGACGCACAACCCGTTGTACTGCGAGGTGTGCATGAAATTAGTGCGCGACTCTGAAGCGCTGGCCATGCACAGAGAATCCCACACGCCGTTCCAGTGTAACCGATGCGATGAGAACTTCCCCGTGTTCAAGGCCCTCCATAAACATTACCTGGACGTTCACAACCCCACGGAGCCTTTCAACTGCCCCTACTGTGAGACGACGTTCAGCAGCTTGAAACGTTTCATCAGACACGAGTGGAAGCACACGGGCTACCAGCCTTTCCAGTGCACGCAGTGCTCCAAGAGGTTCCGCTCCTACTCCGACCTGGTGGAGCATCAGAAAAAACACACCAAGGCGTACCCGTACCTTTGCTGGGAGTGTGGTAAGAAGTTCAGGCACGGCGTCACGCTGACCAGACATGTGGAACGCGTGCATCACGCCGGAGAGCCCACCACCGAGAAGCCGTCGGCCATCTTCACCTGCGCCCAGTGTGGGAAGACCTTCACCTCCAGGAGGTGCCTTCTCAAACACGATAACTTCCACCACAAAGGGATGAGGTTCCCATGCGAGCACTGTGGAAAGGGTTTTTTTGGCAAGGACGCGTTAGTGAGGCACACGTTGATCCACACGGGCGAGAGGCCGTTTAAGTGCGAAGACTGCGATAAGTCTTTCAGGTCTGCTGCAGAACTGAAGATCCACAGGAGGTACCACACGGGGGAAAGACCGTTCAAGTGCAACCTGTGTGAAAAGGGCTTTGTCCAATCGTGTTTTCTCACTTTACACATGCGGACTCACACCGGGGAGAGGCCGTACGTCTGTACGATCTGTAGCAAGGGCTTTTCAAGTTTGCACGGCCTCAAACGCCACCGGAGACTCGTTCATGCTTAGCTGGTTTGATGTGATGCTAATATTTATACAAAGTTCAGCGGGCCCTTGTGCCCAGGTCTCCCTCGATTCTCCTGGAACCAAAAGAAAGACACAATCGATCTTATTGTGAAGTTTATTGGGCAAACAAAATCCTGGTAAAGGTGTGGACTTTACACTAGGTTTTTCATTTCTTTAACATTCGTCTTACAAAGTTCTCTCTGCTTTCCACAAACTCAAACTGATAAAAATGTTTATTGTATTGAATTCTAAAATTATCTTTGTTTTTTTACAGATGTGTTGCCGTAGTTCTACAAAAGATTTGTATGTTTAAATAATTTCAAATTTATTTCTTTTAGATTTTTTTTTTCTTGGAAAACGCCAAGTTTTACTTATTTTGAGTGAGCAAATTTCTGTAGTTATTTTTTTTTATTTATTTTGTATAAAATAAACAGTTTGACTTAAAATTGATTGAGAAACTATATTTTTTATTATATTGTTATACATCATAAACTATTCACACTAAGGTACAAGTTTTCACTAATATTTGCTCAGAATGGCAATTTTTTATAAACATCATTATTTGAGCAGATTCTTGAACTTAAGTAATACAGACACTTTCCAAAAAATTAGAATATCATGGAAAAGTTGTTTAACTTCCATAATTCCATTCAAAAAGTTAATCTTTAATAGATGATAGATTCAGGGCTCACAATTTAAATGATTTCAAATATTTATTTGTTTATTTTTACATAATTTGAGCTTCCAGCTCCTGAAACCCACGAAAACAGGAATTCAATAAATTAGAATACGGTTGAGAAATCAGCCCAAATGTTGCAGGGCATGAATGTTTTAAACTGAGTGTGACACACTAGTCATGTACTAAACTCAAAGCACCTGCATAGGTTTCCCCAAGTGTCATTAAATTGCTTCAGTTTGGATCAATTGTCTGTTAGGTTCAATATGAGGAAGACTGCAGACATAACTGGCCAGAAGACCATCATTGATACCCTCCATAGGATGGATAAGCCACAAAAGTTTATAGCTAAGGAGGCTGGCTGTTCAGAGTGCTGTGTCCAAGCATATCAATGGAAAGTCTAGTGGAAGGGCAAAATGTGGCAGGAGAAGATGCACCAGCAAAAGAGATGACCGTGGGCTTTAGCGGATTATCAAACATAGAAGATTCCAGAATCTGGCAGAGATTCAGAAAGAGTGGAAGAGGCGGGAGTCACAGCTTCAAAAACCACCACATTCAGATGCACCCGGGAGATGGGCTACAACTGTCGGATTCCTCAGTCCTCTTTTTCTGATGAAAGTAAAATGTGCCTTTCATTCAAAAATCAAGGTCCAACGGTTTGGAGGAAGACGGGTGAGGAACAGAACCCATACTGTTTGAGGTCCAGTGTGAAATATCCACAGTCAGTCATGATTTCTGGTGCAATGTCTGGTGCAGGTGTTGGTAAACTGCTTTCTTAAATCCAAGGTCACCACAACAGTCTACCAGAATGTTTTAGATGACTTCATGATTCCTTCTGCTGAGGATCTGTATGGAGATGCAGATTTCATCTTCCAGCAGGACCTGGCCCCTGCCCATGCCGCCAGAAGCACAAAAACCTGGTTTGATGCCCATGTCACAGTGCTTGACTGGTCAGCCAACTCGCCGGACCTAAACCCCATTGAGAATCTATGGAGTATTCTCAAGAGGAAAATGAGGGGCACCAGACCGAACAAGAAAGAAGAGCCGACAGCAAGCATCAAGGAAATCTGGGCTTCCATAACTCCCAGTCAATGCCACGTCGCATCGAGGCAGTGATTAAGGCAAAGATATTCCCAACCAACTAATGAAGATTGACGTATCGTTTTAAAAGTACCATATTTTGATTGATTTGTTGTGATCCTAATTTCTTTATTTTCTGCAAAAACAGAAGTGTGGGCTGATGTCTTCACAGTACTCTAATTTTTTGAATTCCTGTTTTTGTGGGTTTCATGAGCTGGAAGCCCAAATTATGTAAAAATAAACAAATACTTGAAATTGTTTAAATTGCGAGCACTGAATCTATCATCTATTAAAGATTAACTTTTTGAATGAAATTATGGAAGTTAAACAACTTTTCCATGATTTTCTAATTTTTTGGAAAGGGTTTGTAGATATGTAAAATGCCACAAGAATAACTGTGAGTACTAAAATATTGAGTACTCCACTTTTATGAGTCTTTTAGCAAAACTAACATGGAAGTGAATATACTCTTATAATAATTGTGACTATTTGTCCATTAAACCAAAAACAAACAAAAATGAAGATCTAACTGACGGTGAGTGTTACTCAAATAGTCCCTTGTGGCTTTGTGGGTTTGTGTTTTAACGCAGTACAAAGGAAAGTTTTGTTTAAAAAAAATCCAGTTTATGGTAGGTTTATTCCAACTTGACAGCCAAACAATTTGATACAGCCCTTGCTGACACACCTGCTCCTCTTGTTGCCCACCTCTGACTGATTAAAAAACCATGTGACCACCCATGTTCCTCCAAACCTCCCTACAGCCTACATATTTATGCCTCTAATACCCACATCCCAAATAAAAATATATAAACTAAACAAATTACTAATCAGTAAATTTATTCTAAACAATTGTGATTAAACAAAAATACAAATTTAAATATCTAACCTAAAAATAAGCTAATTTATGAACCAATAAACTAAATTCAAAGACAACAAAAAATAGACAAATAGCTCCTACAATAATAATAATGCATTTTATTTGTTAGCACCTTTCAAGACACCCAAGGACACTTAACAACATTAAAAACACAAAATCAAACAATACAAAATGGCTATAAAAACAATAAACCAAGAAGAAAATAACAAAAAATTAAAATGAGATGGCTAACTTGAACAGATGAGTTTTGAGTTGTGATTTCAAGGTCTGAAGGGAGTCAATATTACGGATGTCTGGGGGATATTTACATTTATAACCAAACATTAAAATATAAACGAGTAATTCTGATGAAATTAAGATTTGGAAGAAGGCTAACTGCTTGTCTTTAATAAAAATCTTAAATTTTCTCCACGTACTTTTAAGACACAGGCCTGCATAGTTCATGGTTTAGATTTGATCAAAGCGTTCTGAACAAAAGTTGTTTTTCTTTGTTCTAACATGTAAAAATAAAATCATTTCAGTTTATTTATATAGCGCCAAGTCACAACAGGAGTTGTCTCCGGAACCTGAACAGAAACATTCATATATAAAAATAATAATTTAACAATATTTATCTGAGGAGCAGACTGCTTTGAGTTTAACTCCATCACAGAACTCTCATCTTGAGCAAGCATAAAGGTGACAGTGGAAAGGAAAAACTCCCTCATGAAGAAGAAACCTCCATCAGAACCAGACTCGGGACAAGAGGCCATCGGCTTCAACTGGCTGGGTTTGAGAGGAACAGGAAGGAGGAATAGATACACAATGGCAGGTCAAGAATCACATGTTAAGGTTGTTTTCACACCTGATAGTCCGGTAGACTGTTCAGTTGGGGACCAATATTCATGACGTTTTATTTACATTTGAGCTGATGCGTTTGCATTCATACTGCACTGTGCAGTTGAGCCAACTTACTGAGCCAACCTATTCCCCCGCTCGCCTGTGGGGGCGCTGCACCAAGAACTACTGAAAGAAACAAGTCAAGTCTACTTTATTTATAGAGCACATTTAAAACAGAACCTGTTATCAAAGTGCAACAACAATCAATGAGAGTAAAATTAAAGAGGAATATATATATATATACATATACATACATACATACAATACACTAATAATAATAACTGAAGAATTAATAAAAAGCATTTATAACATAGGGTCACAGATTAAAAAACACTAGATAAATTTACACTGTATGAAATGCCTGCGAGAACAGATGTGTTTTTAGCAGGGATTTGAAGTGAGGAAGGGAGGTGGCCTGCCTGATGTTGGGGGGCAGGTTCCAGAGTTTGGGGCCCATGACTGAAAAAGCCCGATCTCCTCTGAGCTTCAGTCTTGTTTTTGGAACAGCCAAAAGCAGCTGATCTGATGATCTCAGGGCCCGAGAGGGAGCGTAAGGTTCCAGAAGCTCAGAGAGGTAAAGGGGTGCAAGGCCATTTAAGCATTTGAAGGTCAACAGAAGAATTTTAAAGACTATCCTCGTACGAACAGGGAGCCAGTGAAGGGAGGAAAGAACTGGAGTAATATGTTCAGACATACGAGTTCCAGTTAAAAGCCGAGCAGCAGCATTCTGGACGAGCTGAAGACGTGAGATGGAGGCCTGGCTGATCTCAGCATAGAGTGCATTGCAATAGTCCAATCGGGTCGTGACAAAGGCGTGGACTAGTTTCTCAAGGTCGGGTCTGGACAATACTGGCTTGAGCTTAGCTACCTGTCTGAGTTGGAAGCAGCTTTTCTGCAGAACAGAGTTGATTTGTTTGTCAAACTTGAAGTCAGAGTCTAACAACACAAAAACCTCTGAAGACACTTCTTCTTCTGGAAATAAAAACAAAAACGGAGTGGCATCAAGTTTTCAATTCAATTCAAAAATACTTTATTAATCCCAGAGGGAAATTTTTTGTTGTTGTAACTCGTTATCCTCATTTCATTAAGAGATGTTATAAATACTGATGACCGTAGACAGGAAGGATCTCCTGCAAAGGTCCATCCCACAGTGGATCCTAAGAAACTGGCTGCAGATGCCATCCGATCCATCCACTCACTCGGCTGGCCTCTCGGTTCCCCTCGGGTTGTAGGACCTCCCAAATGCCGGGCAGAACTCCTCCCAGAGCGATGGCCACTCCTCCTAGCAGTCTGCCGAGCTCCTCGTCACTGCGGATAGGTGCCGAGGGACGATCCTGTCCTTTCACTGTCATGAGCCATGTTTCCTCCTAGTTCCAGGATCTCGGTGGTCAGGCACTCGAGCACAGCTGGCAGGTAGATGAGAATGCATCCACAGGACATCCTTTTCAACTCATTTGAGATTTGGGGCTGTAGTTGAGATATTATTTGAGCTTTTGAGATGGTAATCAGCTGCTGTTGGTTGTAGAAAACTGCCTTGTTGCCATGGTTACGCATCATAACAAATGTCCAAAACTAAAAAAAAGTTTCAGTAAAAATCCTTCCAGCTGCACAGCATCTGATACCAGAGGAAACAATCATCCAAAAAATGTGATTTACATCCAGAAAAAGAGGAATTAAAGTTTCCAAAAGCAAAATCTCAGAATGAAAGTAACATAGCTGCTCCAACATGCAGCCACCTTGAGCGGCGCAATTCTAGAATATATAGCAGTTTAGCAGTTTTAGGAGTTATATTTTGTCATTTTTCAAAAATGGACTCTGTATGAGCAGAAGATGAGGCAGAAAACCATGGAGAATATTATTTTTCACACACGCTGTACTCAACTTCTTGCTTGTGGAGTGGGGCCTGATCTGTTTACATTCACACTGTACTCGAACCGCGCTGGAGTTCTCTTATACCGGACCGATACCTAGGTTTTAGCCCGGGCCAGAGTTTGCCTTTCTGTTCCGTGACAGAGTCCGATGGCGCGTTCACACCTCCCCAAACGAACGGGACTTTCTAGGAAAACGAGCTAGAGTTCGATTAAAGCGGACTAAACAGGGCTTCTGTTTTAACAATACATTTGGGGTGCATTCACACACTGTAAACCCAAATTAGTAGTCATTACTAAATCCGCATACGGTAAGCATTGCACTGGGATGTCTAGTTTTTCCATCCATCCATCCATTATCTTTACCCGCTTATTCCATTTTGGGTCACGGGGGTCGCTGGTGCCCATGTCCAGCAATCACTGTGCGAGGGGCGGGGTACACCCTGGACGGGTCGCAAGTCCATCACAGGGCCACATAGAGACAAACGAGATAAACAACCATTCACTCTCTCACTCACACCTAGGGACAATTTAGAGTTACCAATCAGCCTAACATGCATGTTTTTGGTCTGTGGGAGGAAGCCAAAAATCTTACTATGTCCTATGTGGTGTTTTTTTTTTCTGTTGGGTACGAGAGAAAATACCTAACAGTTTGGATGGAGAGAGCACAACTGTGCCCAGTTAGGCTAAAATAATTAGAAATGGTCACAATAAGTGGATATTATCTGAAAAAAGCAGCAGGTTGAAAAAAACAAACTCCAGCTGAATAATAGCTAAAGAAGCAAAAAGCTTAAGTTACAGGAATGAAGTGGAAGGAGATTTTTGTTGAATTTGTTTGAAAAAAGTTTAAATGAGCGCAAAAAATGTGGCATTAGCTGAAACAGCTAAAATTAGCATAAAACAGCTAAATACTATTATTTTCCTTTATTTTACCAGGAAGAAATCCATTGAGATCATCAATCTCTTTTACAAAGATGTCCTGGACGAACTATACTATACTAGCTGAAATAACTACTTGCAGAAATAACTAGCAGAAAGGCAGAAGAAGCACAAAAATGTAGTTAGCTGAATAAAGCAGAACGGAGCACAAAACAGCTGAAAAAGTACAGTAGCTGATTTTTTTTGGGGGGGGGGAAGCTGAAGCAGAACAAAATGTGAAGGAGCAGTAAAAAGTTGTAAACAGATCTAAATATTTAAAGGATGTAAAATGAGCTAAATTCATTTTCTATGACCAAAAAAAAAAAAAAATCAGAAATGGTTAAATCTTTCAAAAAGCTAAAGTTGCACCATTACATTGCGGAACGAGAGCGATACCAAAAAAATATGGAAGAACTATAGTAACAGCCAATAATAATAATAAAAATAATAAATATGAACAGGATCACAATAGTTTGGTGATTATTGTCGCAGTGTTGGCCTCGTCATTCACAAAGTGTGAACTCCGTCCTGGTTCAGTGTCGGAGCTCAGAGTCCTCTAGCCCCGCTGCGTCTCCTGCTTCTGCCCGGAGAGCGGACTCGTTCGGGATGGTGTCTAAGTAGCAGCAGCCGGTGGATTCTCTGAAAACTGTCAGTAATTGTGGAACAATAATGAATTTACTGCCATCTAACCCTCACGGGAACGGGCTTCTTTATGCTGGATTTAACCAGGATCACGGTAAGAGGGCTTGTTTCCCTATGGATCCAAGTAGCGTCGCAGTTTTTTAAACCTTCATTGTTTAAGTGTTTCGCAGCAGTGCACACCAATCATTATTATCTGACAATTTAACATTAAAAAGCTACAAACCGTTAACTGAAGACGCTGCTCCGTCGGTGTCTTTAAGCGCTTTCGTTTAATTTGTTGTTTTAGTTAGCGTTAGCAAGTATCAGACCTCCGCTAGCATCGGGAAAAAACAGCTCCTTTTGTGTTTGTTTTAAGCTCTTTAAACTCGTTTTTTAAATTATGTATCCAGCCTAATGGTCTCCAAACTCGCTGTGATAACAGATACACAAACATAACGGAACAACTAACAAAGATCGAGTGAAGAAGTTGGGAGTGATTGTCAACTTAGCGTGAATGCTAACTTCACTGGCTAACCGCTAGCTTCGGTTACTTAAAGCTAAAAGAAAGCTCTTAACGTTATTTAATTTAAATATTTAAGGGATAATGGTGTACATAAAGTCTTTTACTTTCAGGATTAAATGCGGTAATGATGTTTTCCCCTTCCCACATAATACAGGCCGTTTTCAATATAATATAACATTTTGTTGGTTTTCCTCATGATTTTGAGTGTCACTTATTAACGTGGCTAACAACATATGAAACTGTAAACTCAGCTATCATAATGTTAACACGCACACAGCTCAGTTTTACACAACTTCCAGCTGAGATTAATCATTATATACTTTTCCAGTTTTTAACTCGGTTAAACAGATGACCTCGGCCTTTTCCCAAAAGAGTAGAAAATGAAAGAGTTGAGTGAAGTTTCTGAAGTGACTCTGACAGTGATCCATCCGTGTTTTGTGCACTTTGATTCCTGTGTTTAGGATGCTTCGCTTGTGGCATGGAAAATGGATTTCGAGTGTACAACACAGATCCCCTCAAAGAGAAAGAGAAGCAAGGTAAGCCAACATAAACACAAAGTAGTTTGTGACAAAAAGTTTGCCTGTTCTGCTCAGTCACACACAATTTAGTAAACATCCAAAGGAGTTCTGCTAGATCCATCATCAAGATATGAACGGAATACAGAACATGTGTAAATCTACCAAGAGAAGGCCGTCCTCTCAAACTGGGTGACTGTGTAAGAAGGAGAGACCGCTGAAGGAGTTTCAAGCTTTAGCAGATGAGATGGGAGAGACTGTTCATACAACTGTTGCCGTATGCACAGTTTCAGTTTTTGAAGACGATCTTAGTAGATTTACCCATGTTCCAAAGATTCTGTTACATTTCTAATAACAATAAGCGAGTAAAATATCCAAGAGGGCAGTGTTTGGAAAATGGCAATCAAACTAGAAATAAAGTATAATTTGAGCATCCAAGCTGTACTTGAAGTGTTTTGCATGATCATTGAGATGTATTCTACTAAGTTTTATCAATTCACTAAGAGGTAACTTACCTCAAGAGGAAAAATTGTGGTTCCAGAAAGAGTGATCATAATAAGGTTAATCAGTTCTGAGTCTCTAATGAAGTCTCACTTCTTTCAGTGAGCAGGTTTACGGGAGTTCAGTCTGTTACGACCCAGAGTTTCACTTACCTCTTAGAAAGGGAAAACTTGGGAGTTTCCCTTAACTCGGGGTAATTTGCTCAGTTTTTACATAACATGCTTCCTGCAATACCCCTGAAATGAATTTAATATAAAGTAGAATTGACATTCATTGTGTTTACCACATTAAATAAAAATAATTTAATTATTCTTAACTGATGTCATAGAGGGTTACTCTAAAATTAAATCATGATGGTATTTTATTTAGAACTCTGGAACTGCTCTTTCAAACAGAAAACCTGTTCTGCTCACTGGAACAAAGTATTTTTATTGCAGTGCAGCTCCTTAATTATGGAAGTGAATAAAAGGAAGTGTGAACATGTGATCCAGGACACAGCTTCTCTAAAACCAGTCGGGTTTCTCTGTTTTTCATTCTCTTTACATCACACCATGCTTGTGTCGTCATCACCCATCAGGGAAGAGCAGCTTTCTTTTGGACTCGCTGATGTTGACCCTGAGACTGTTTGGGTTTCAGAGTTCCTGGAAGGTGGGGTTGGCCACGTGGAGATGCTCTTCAGGTGCAACTACCTGGCACTGGTGGGAGGAGGGAAGAAACCCAAGTATCCAACTAACAAAGGTAAAGGCAGATCATTTTAGGAAGAATACTTTTTTAAAATTTAAAAATCACCAATTACATTATTTTAATATTCAGTACTGAGGAAATATTTTGATAAAATAAGAACCAAGGTCGGGCAGCACGGTGGCGCAACTGGTAGAGCTGCTGCCTCTCAGCGAGCAGGTCCTTGGTTCAAACCCTGGTCCAGGGGCCTTTCTGGGTGGAGTTTGCATGTTCTCTCTGTGCATGCGTGGGTTTTCTCCATGTACTCCGGTTTCCTCCCACAGACCAAAAACATGCATGTTAGGCTGATTGGTAACTCTAAATTGTCCCTAGGTGTGTGTGTGTGAGAGAGTGAATGGTTGTTTGTCTCTATGTGGCCCTGTGATGGACTTGCGACCCGTCCAGGGTGTACCCCGCCCCTCGCACAGTGATTGCTGGACATGGGCACCGGCGACCCCCCGTGACCCAAAATGGAACAAACAGGTAAAGATAATGGATGGATGGAAGAACCAAGGTCACATTCTGAGCTTCTGACACTTTAGGATCATTTTAAAGAGTCAAATAAAATAGTTTATTAATGACCAAAAATACTTTGACAAATGATGATTTATTTCATTCTCATCAGAATCTCCAGATAAACCCACCACCTGGAACTAACTGATGAGGTCCACACACTCTGTCATTGTGTGAACGTTCATGAAGCATTCACGCTACTGTGATCCATTTTTCTTCTGTACGTTTTTTGGTGCAATTCTCATCCCACAGTTTTCAAGTTAGTTCAACAAATCATAAATCAAAACATTCAGCTCATTCAGGATAATCCTGCTAGAACTCTTGGTATTGGTGCAGCTTTAGCTTTTTGAAATATTTAGCCTTTTCTGCCATTTTTTTCTCATAGAAAATTAATTCCAAATCTTTAGATCTGTTTACAACCTTGTACTGCTCCTTTCACATTTTGTTCTGCCTCAGCTTCTTTCAGCTTCCTTGTGCAAATTATTTTTTCAGCTACTTTCAACTAATTTCAGCTGTTTTGTGCTCCTTTCAGATTCTTTCTGCGAACTACAACATTTTTGTGCTTCTTCTGACTTCTTTCTGCTAATTTCATCTTATGCTCTTTTCAGTTTATTTCAGTAAGTTTCAGCTACTGTATAGCTGTTTTTATACTAATTTAAGCCTTTTCAGCTAATTCCACATTTTTTGCAGTTGTTTCAACTGTTTTCAGCCAAATTCAGTAAAAAAAGTGCTCGCTCCACTTCCTTCTGGTAAATTAAGCTTTCTGCTTTTTAAGCTACTTTTCAGCTTTATTTTTTTTTTTTTTTTGCTTGCTAATTTCTGTTGTTTTTTTTTTAAATTATTTTCCCTTTTTTTTGTTAATTTTTGCTTCTTTCAGCCTAATTATACAAACATGTTTTTTTCTGCTTTCTTCTGCTAATTTAAGCTTTTCAGCAAGATTTTTAGCATTTTTAAGCTAATTTCGGTTGCTTTCAAATAAATTCAACTTTTTTGTGGTAATTTCTGCTACTCTCAGCCTAATTTACTTATTTCCGCTAATTTCAGTTGGTCATGCTCTTTTCAGATTTTTTCTGATAGTTTCAGGTTTTTCTGCTATTTAGCTACTTTTTAGCTGTTTTTGTGCTTAAATTTAGCTTTTTCATCTAATTCCACATTTAGGAAAAATCTAATTTCAGCTCCTTCCACTTCCTTCTGATTGAGCTTGTTTCTGCCTTTTCAGCTACTTTTCAGCAATTTTTTTTTGCTAATTTCAGCTTTTTTAACTAATTTCCCAATTTTGTGTGCTAATTTCTGCTTATTTAAATCTAATTCAGCAAGTATGTGTTCTTTCTGCTAACTTAGGCTTTTTCTTCTATTTCAGCTACATTTCAGCATGTTTTTAGCTAATTTCATCTGTTTTTCAGCAAGTTCTTTAGCAATAAACCTTCACCCTGCATTTTCACAGGAAATGCAGTTTTGCTAGTTTTACATACATTCTTATATACTTGTAAGGACACTTGTAAAGTGTCCTTGGGTGTCATGAAAGACGCTTTTTAAATAAAAGTATTATTATTATTATTATTATTATTATTATTATTATACTCATCCAATCACAGATGGCATTAAGAGGATAGGAGGCACAATCTGTCCAACAAAAACATTATTGTCCCTGTCGCAGAGCAAAGAGGGCGAATTGGAAATACTGTCCATCTGTCCGTGCCGGTTATTATTAATGATTAACTTGAAAAATGAGTCAGGTACCGGTTTCCATTTTGATTTGTTCCTGCGTTAAGGCATAAGAAATGTCATTAGCGAAAATTGTGTTGCTGTGTCAAAATCCAAGATGGCCACTGCCAAAAATATCAGAGTAAGCTTTATTATCATTGCACCAAGATACAATGAGAATATGTACGTACAGCCGTCCAAAAGATGGATGGAGTGCACAAAGCTGCTGCTATATAGCGCGGCCTTCTTATTCTTTTCAGAATCAATTTTTTAGATAGAAAAAGGGACAAAGCCGTGAGGAGAGGGGTAGTGGCATTACAAAAAAGAACTCTTCACACAATGTAAACCAACCAAACTATGCTTCTAGGTTTATATTGCATAAAAGTATAGTTTTCTCAAATACTTGGGGTGGCCAAAGATTACTCTATGGCCACCCCCTGGCTCGGCCATTATGTTTGGTTTTTGATCAAATCGCTCCCTCCACTCACGGAGATCTGTCATTCAATTCAATTCAGTTTATTTATATAGCGCCAAATCACAACAAAGTTGTCTCAGGGCACTTTACAGAAACATTCACATACATAAAAGCCAATTAGTAAAGTTCTCCATCTAAGGAATCTAGCAGACAAGTTGAATCTTGGCTTCGTTGCAGTCTCCCATAGCGATATTACGCAGGTGGAAGAAGGAGGTTCTAGTAACGTTTTTAATGTGGGGGATAAAAGACATGTCCTGATCAAAAATAACACCAACATTTTTAACATTAGAGCTGGAGGACAGATTAATGCCATCTAAGGAGGGAGAAAGACTGAAAAATTAATTCCTAAGGTGCTCAGGTCCAAAAACCAAAACCTCAGTTGTGTCTGTGTTCAACAGGAGAAAATTAAGGGTCATCCAGGTTTTTATATCTTTAAGACATGCTTGTAGTCTAAGTAGCTGATATGATTCATTGGGTTTAATGGACAAATATAATTGTGTGTCATCAGCATAACAATGGAAATTTATCCCATGCTGTTGTAATGAACATTATCTGTCAGATATTATCCATAATTTAAACGGATTCTTTCATTTTTCTGGACTGAGTTCTATCGTGCATTGAATGATTAAATGTGGACGGAAACGTGTTTTAGTTTCTGACTCACCATCAACAGTGAGCCGTTTAATTAAAAACGATTTAAAACAACATCACACATTTACAATAATTGGCAGATTGATTTCAACAACAGCTTAATTAATTAGCTTTACAATTAGAAAACCATACGGCCATGGTTTCCACTTGCAGCTTTTAAACCAACAGACATTTCTGAAAATATCTGGGTGATTACTGGCAAGGTAGAAGAGTTTTAAAGATGGGAAATGAGGCTTAAATGGAGAGAGATGGGTGAGGGAATTTGTCTGTTATAACCAGAACAACACGCTCCTTTGGACCCAGCTTAACCCACGGTACACTTCGCAGTTGAAGATCGACTTTTTACCTTTCTGAAGATATTTCAGTTCCGGCGTAAAGTTCCACTTCAAGCCACTTTTCAGCGTCTCCGTAAGAATAGCAAAGACCTCAGGAGTCGTGAGATCATTTCGTTCAACAGCAGCTCACCTCCCAGGTGGACTCACATGAGCTGTGAGCCCGTCAGAGGTTCCACTCAGATGTGGAAGATTCCATAATCCCCACGAGACTCTGAACTTTGTTCTTCCTTCTGGAACTTTGTTCTGCGTTCTGCGTTCCGAACTGCACTGCCTGGAACTAGGAAGTGTTGACCCTTTTAAAGAGGTCACTTCCGGTTCCTCTGAGAACTTCCTGATTGGCTGATAGAACCAACAGGTGTGTGGTCTTAGTGACGTAAGAGGTTATTAAAAGTCAAGGAGAAAGATTAGATTGTTTTAAGAACAGACAGAAAGATGTTTTGAAGAAATGAGACTTTTTGGAGCCATTTTCCTCCTATCTGTCTGAAAAAGTTAAACATGACATTTCTTTCCAGTAAACATGTTTTTGACCGAAACTTGACTTCTGACCGACTTACTCCTTCTCATTTCAGACAGAGAATTAAAAATGCATCATTACTCTTGTAACAGACATTAACTTGATTTCTACTTTGAATGAGGATTAAAAATCATTAATACTGTTTCACAGTTGATTTAAAATGAGTAGTTCACTTCAACATTTAAAAATGGTTTGAACTAAACACACTTTTGATTATCAAGATATTGTAAAATAGTAATGATAATAAAAAAGAGAGTGTTCTTTCAATTGATCAGTGCAGGACACACTTAGAAAGTCTCTGGATGAACTTAATTTTGTGTTTCTGGACTCAAATCAATGAAATAACAGTTCTTGTCCCAGGAAGGCCCTCAGGGCCAGATTTTGACCTGAGGCTTAGTTCACTACACTGTTTAATAACTTTACCTAATGGAAGCATATATAAAGTAAAGAGTATTGGCCCAAGCACTGAGCCCTGAGGAACTCCATGACTAACTTTGGTGTATGAAGAAGGTTTATTATTTACATTTACATACTGGAATCTATCAGATAGATATGATTTAAACCATTTTAGAGCAGTTCCTGTAATCCCAATATCATATTCAAGTCTCTGTAGTAAAATATTGTGATCAACTGTATCAAATGCAGCACTGAGGTCTAACAGGACCAGTATAGACACAAGTCCATTGTCTGAGGCCATGAGAATATCATTAGTTATTTTTACTAGTGCTGTTTCTGTGCTATGATGAGCTCTAAACCCTGACTGAAACTCTTCAAACAGATTATTTCTTTGTAGATGTTCACGCAACTGACCTGCAACTATTTTCTC